ATTTGGCATAGCTGGCAGGGAAATGCTAGCCATTGTAGATTTTTTTTTCTATCTTAAACATGCATTCGTTTAGGTTCGGTCAATTTCTGGGTGAGAGATGGGCTGAAAATCCCCAAATATGCTGCTTTTCAGAGCCAGAGATGAAAAGCAAGATATCGGTAAAACAGATAAATCATGCACTCTGGGTTGCTAAGAGAAATAGCCCAGGAAAGACTCGCTCGGCACGCCAGAGCGTTTCAGATCCCCACTGACAAGACCTGTGGCTTTTAAAGTGAAAGTGTCTGCACTATCCAAAGTCCATACCGGCCGTTCGGAGCCCGGGGGCAAGGGTGGTGCAGGCCCCAGACGCTGGTCATTCTTTTTCCGATGGAGAGACCTGTTCGGCAGCCTGACTCTGAGATGGAGCATTGGGCCACGTGTATTACAGCCTTCCCCACACTGGTGTCTGGCTGATGTCTGGATTGCCACTTTCAGCTTTCCAGAGCATTGGCCACGCTGGGTGAAGCTGGTGGGAGCTGGAGTGGACTAAAACAGCTGGAGGCTGCTAGAGGTACCTGCCCATATAGGATGCTCAGCTTCTAAGGCCTTCTCCAGAGGAGACTTGGAAGGTAACAGCGAAGGAGGGGGCCTTCCCTGTGGGGGCCCACCTGGTAGCCAGCATTGCCGCCTTTCCGCACCAGGTGAAGGTCTTCCTCTACTTTCAGGCATTGGCAGCATATGATGACGTTTGGGGTTTTGTCCTGGGTTGTTAAAATGGTTTAGGTATGTTCCCGCTGTTATGTACAATATTGTATTTTTGAGGCTTTTAAGCTTTTTAACCCAGAGAGCTATGGCTGTCAGGTAGTTTGGAAACGTACCTGAAGATGAAACTGAAGGCTGGTCTAAATGAAGATGAAATTCAGGCTGGTCTGCTCTGTCTGGCACCTTTTCCAAGGCCTTGGGCAGAGTTTTCCCAACCCTTTTCTCCCGGATGCTTTTAACTGGAAGCAGTTAATTGTCTGACACCCGCTTTGTGGAATCCTTCCCCTGTCCTGCCTTCCTACAGAGGTTTTCTCGACTCTTTTACCTCTGCTCTACTTCTCTCTCTGTCAGGATTGTTTTAAAAAGTTTAGTTTAAAAGGCATACTCAGCTGGGGCATGTAATTTCTTTTCAACATCGTTTTCAGTTTTACACTGGATCTTATCTTGGGCTTCCTGCTGGTTTTATACCGGTTTTACTGCTTCTCTTCAATGTTAGTGTAGTGATTTTATCATGTAGCATTTCACTGTTCTATTGTTGCAAACACATTTTTAATTTTAGCATTTAATTTGCATTGTAATTCACTTTGAATCTGTTTTGTGCGGCCTGAGTGACTAAGAAATCTCTCTGTGTGTCTGTTCACATCCTGGCCGGTGAAGCCAAGTATAAACATTCTGGGATGCATCCAGACATAGGAATCGTTCAGGTATACCTGCTGAAAACAATGTGATTTCGATTAGTGGCTCACTTAACGTCCATTGTAAGCATGACTAAGGCTGCGCCCCATCCATTCTGTGCGTCAATATCTATGGGAAGGCATGTTTTTGTAAGAAATGGAAGTGCCTCACTTATTGGGTAAGCTGGATGGATGTCTGGTGAAGTTCCAGGGGCTTTCCGGAGTATGGGATTCCCCTTCAGAGCAGAGGTAGGGGGATACCCCGGTCAATTCCTTAAGAGTCACTGACTTTGTGGAAGTGGTTGGGTTACCTTCCAGTGCTTGGAGGAGCTTCATGGTCAACACGACAAGCACCCCTGGAATCAGGCATTATAGCCTAATTCATCTTCCTCTTCTGTTCCTGTTAAACCATGCCTGTCTTTTCCAAGTGGTGCGGTCCATGCATCTTTTACTAAGGCGAGTATATCTTCTGTACCAAATACCTAAAAGAGCATCTCCTCTCTCATAAGCTTCTTCTCGCTCAAGCGAAAGACCAGAGACTGCCTTTCTTTCTTTCTTTCTTTCTTTCTTTATTTATTTATTTATTTATTTATTTATTTATTTATTATATTTACATCCTGCCTCCTTTCCTTCCAAGGAACTCAAGGTAGCTTTTCATAATCCTCCTCAGGTAGGTTGGGCTGAGAGTCTGTGATTGGCCCAAAGTCACCCAGTGAACTCCACAGCTGAGTGGGGACTGGAACCCGTATCTCCTGAGTCCCAGTCCCACTCTCTTAACCATGATACCACACAGACTCTTTCGAGGTAAAAAGCAGAGTACAAATCAAATCTAGGACATATGCTTTGCACAGGAAGCCCTATCACAGAAGAGTAGATTTGGAAGGGGCCATGAAGGCCATGGGGTCCAACCCCCTGCTGTTGCAGGACACCAAGTCACACCATCGCACTCAGGTGGTTGTCCTGTTTCTTTTTGAATGCCTCCAGTGTGGGAGAGCCCAGAGGTCTCTGGGCAACTGGTTCCACTGTCATATTGCTCCGACAGGGAGGAAGCTTTTCCTGAATCTGGATTGTCGCAACCTGAATTGATTATTCTGTGTCCTACGCTCTGGCGTCAGCAAGAAGAGATCTTGACCTTCCTCTTTGTGATAGCCCTTGAGGTAGAGGGATATCATGTTCCCCCTCAGTCTTCTCTTCTCAAGGCTGAACATGCCGAGTTCTCACAATCTTTTCTCACAGGCAGTGTTTACAAACCCTGGGTCATTTTTGTTGCTCTCCTCTGGACCCTTTCTAATTTTTCTGCATTGTTCTTAAATTGCCCAGAACTGGACATAGTATTCCAGACAGCATGTGGCTAGTGAAGAGTGTAGTGGAACTTCTACTTCTTGTGATTTGGAAGTAATACGTCTTGTATCGATGCATTTGGTTTCTTCTTCCTAGGTGGAGAACTTGGCGCTTGTCCTTACTGAATCTCATTCTGTTCCTTTCAGCCCAGTGTTCGGATTTATTAAGATTGCCCTAGATCTTCATTCTGTCTTCTAGGGTGCTCACTTTCCATCCAGTTTTGTATCATCTGCAAATCTGATTGTCTTTCCTTGTACTAATATTGAATGCATTTCCAATTTAAACGGGCCAGATATCCTGGAGAGCTACTACTGGTCATGCTAAACCTTTCTGAGCTAAATGGACAAGCAGTCTGGCCTGGTATGAGCAGAATCCCATGATCTTCTGAATATCAAGCTTACACTGGCACAACACAACTGGCACAACACAACTCCCTTCCCTGGGAGGCCCACGAGACACTTCAGGCATTTAGGAAGTTAGTTAATGTACTTCTGGTGTCTGAGCTGTACCAGAATTCAGGTAAACTTGTCGGCGTGTTTCTGTTATTTTCTGTCTTTAGCATTTTTCTTATATTTCTCGTTTTATAAAAGCCATGCTGGGGGAAAGGGTACGGTTGATCTTAACGGTCCACAGGGCATGACATTGAACAAATAAAAAGGCTAGTAAAGTTTGCTCTGATCTAGGTTTTGTAGTCAGCCTTTTGTTATGGTCCCCATTTGATACTTTCTCGTGTGTCACGTTGACTTCCTTCGCACGGACTCTTTCCTTCCCGTAACTGCTCCCTTGCACAGCTCTTGCTGACTCTGGCTTGTCAGGGAGACAAGGCAGGATTGGAGGCTCCTCATCTTATCTGTCAGTCTAAGATGTCCTCTTGCTGGAGCTGAGCGATTTCTTAAGAAGTGGCCTTGATTCTCCGGAAGGCGTGAACTACAGCTAGGAAAAACCTGTCTGAAATGGCAGAAGATGTAATAGGTGTGAAGAACTTTGGGAAAAATTCATTTGCCCTTTTTATAGTCTTCTTGGTTTCTCCTTTTTCTTTTCTCCCTTATGGTATAATAGTCTAGCTTTAAACTAGGCTAGACTATTTGTCTGTCTAGTTTAATATTTACTGACTTTGACTAACAGTAGTTCTGCCAGGCCTCAAACAGAGAGCATCTTATACATTCCTACTATCTGATGATTTTAACTGGAGGTGCTGTGGATTAAAGCTGGAGCATCTTGCTTGTTAAGCTGTTACTCTGCCCTTGAATTACAGGCCGTACATTGTCCATGGGTATAATCATTTCTCCCAACATTTAAAGTGAGACAGAGAAATGAATATCTTAATCATAGAAACTTACAAAAAGAGATGGGGATACAGATATTAGTGATCTGTACCAATGAAGTCATTCTCTGTTGTTTGTAAAAATCATTTTAGCCTATATTAATAAAACAGGAAAGATCCATCATTTATTAGTAGTAGTAATAATACATTATTTCATTTTTATACTGCCCAATAGCTGAAGCTGACTTGCAACCGTGTACAAAACAGTGATCCTCGGTTATAGTGAATGAAATCCATGTGTAAAACTGACCAAGTCTCCTCTAACTTGCCTCTATTAATACTTTGGAGGGTCCTGGGACAGAGGGTTTATGCTTAATTAAGCTCCATGCATTCTGTACTTAAAAATAATTAAAATTATCCCAGGCAGTCCATGATTTCACAAACAGAGCTGTATTCTGGGTCTGTGTGTATTATGTCAGTGATACTTTTCACGGTGTCTCTTGCTTTACATAACTTTTTATATTTTATTTTGCTTTTGTTAGTCATGGGGAGAGCCGTGTGGTACTTACACTGGATATTCTTAGCCCGTTGCCTTTATAGCACCTGAGATTATAGCATCTGAGATAACAGTAGGCACTGCATAGACTTTACAGCTGTTGTTACAACTTAGGTGACCTAGAAATTTTCTAACTTTTAAAAATATATATTAAACTCAGCCAAAACATTGTGATGGAATTTCTTTGTACCGACAGCTCTGTTTTTAAAGACCCATCTAGATAGCATCCTTTCTCAGACTATGTTCTCCAACTTGGAAGGGGTGCCACAGGCTCCAGTAATGGCAGTCTGCTATTCAGAGATGCCTTTTCACCACTTCTCGCAAAAACAGTAATTCCTATGTTTTTTTTTTTCCTTCCAGTTGACAGTTTCTTAGCTCAGTATCTGGCTTCTGACCCTTTTGCATGTATCTCTGTGACCTGTAGGTCTTCTTGAACATGGGCGCAACTGGTCAGCCATTGCCAGGATGGTGGGATCCAAAAGCGTCTCACAGTGTAAAAATTTCTACTTCAACTACAAGAAAAGACAGAACCTGGACGAGATCCTGCAGCAGCACAAATTGAAAATGGTAAGTCTCACCACTGCAGGTTTAGTTTCTGATATTTCTGGGAACAGCCTCACATCCTCTCAAGTTTGAGCCTGCACATGTCTTTCAAAACAAGGGTTTGTCTTATTCGCTGGCTTACACTTTTACCTGTATTTTGAGCTTTTTAAATTGTGTCGTGTGAAGCACCCTGTCGGATACAGCCTCTTTTCAGAGTGTTCCTAAACCGCACTTGAGAGTAAAGAGAATGTACTTGTAGGTTCATTGAACTGTGCAGCTGTGTATGAATTGCACACAAATGCAGTTGATTCTCATGGACTGCGTAAATGTACTTCTGCATACTAGCAAGCATTCTTACGTGCTTGGGGTGAGAAAGAAAAAAGAGAAAGAGAAGGGTAGGTCCTTCTTTCCGTTTAGAGCGTTTTCGTCCAAAGTCTTTCCTAAACCAAGGGCTTACTTGCACTCCTAGAGTGGCAACATGCACTAGTGATGCTAGCTTCACTTATTTTTAAGTACCCTGGGTCATGTTGACATAGATGTATTGAGCGTGTTGACTTTGGATGGTTCCATTTGGAGCTATTGGTGGTGGTGGCAGTGAGCTTCCTCCTTTGAACAAAATTTGTGAGCCTCTCCCATGAGGGTTACCACCTTGTCTTTCCAGTCCTGCTCTGCTGCGCTTTAACACTAACCTCACCTGAAGCACAGAAATGAAGCAGGTGACGCTGTTAATGGCTAGGGGAGTTAAATGGCTTACCTGTTTCTGTGCAAAGGCACTGCTGAAGGCGCGAGGGAAAGATTGCCAGCTCATGCCTCCCTTCATCCCCCCTCTGGGCCACATCTTCTCATTGGGATCAGAGTAGAATTGGAGGGGGAAGGTAGAGAAAGCATGAAATGAGGAAAACTATGTCAGTAAGGAGGGGAGAGCAGATAAGAGGAAAAGGATGGAGCAGAAAGATGGAGAAATGCAGAGGTGCAAGAGAGCAATGCAACAGTCGCTCCAGCTCTGCGGTTGCTTTCTCCCACTGCCATCTGCATTGCTGCCTGGAGGCTTCGTGGGGATCTGGGCAGAAGCCCATCAGTGGTACCCTGTCCCTCCATAGCCACCGTCTCCCTGCTTTGCAGGGAGGGTCCTTTTAACTCAAAGGGACTGTTCCAAATATGACAGCCACTCGCCAGTTAAATAGCTCATGGGCTGATGGGCATCTGCCACTGAGGGCAGAAGGAGTAAATGTTACCTTTCCATCACCAACTGTCTGTGTCAACCTCACATAATCCTCATTTTCTCCTGCATATTCAGAGCATTCAGGAATAGTTGGTCAAGACTAGCACATCCCCTCCTGGGTTGTGAAGAGTTGGAGGAAAGGTCCTGAGCCAAGCGCTTCATGATCTTTTGGGTCACCAGCTCCCCCAAACCATGACCCCTTGCTATTCTGATTAGGGTTCATGGGAGTGGAAGTCCGAACATCTGAAGGGCATCCGTGTGAGGTTATAACTTGGCTGTATCAGAGGGGTTTCGGGATGGAGAGTTCGCTTCGGTGCCCCTTTGGTATGCCTGGTGTTGGTTAGGCTTCTTAGCTGCTGGTGGCTTTTGCAGTGATGGTAAGTGGATCATTTGCACAACCTCAGAGCTGTGCCCTTGCACTGAAGGCCCATGTGTTAGGCACCAGACGTGCAGGTCGTTCCAGCCAGAGATTGGGCCTTTGTTGGGCAAAACCTCGGCAGTAGCCAGCACTCCTGTGCCGGGGAATCCGCCCACAACACCTCGAGAGCTTTCTCTCCTCCTCCGGAGTAGCATTGTGTTTTGACGGTGTCGATTAGAGCCCAGTGTGACTAGAATTTGCTAATGCTCCACAGGCACTTTGGAGACGCAGCAGGCTGCCCTGAAACTGCCGAGTGCTGCAATTATTATTATTTCATTTGAAAAAGCATTGTGGGGGGTTCCAGGCTTCAGCGCTAATAGAATTCTCCCACCTCGCCCAAGGGGCACTTTGCAAGCGCCACAGAGCGGTGCTGAATGCTGAACCTTTCCAGCGTGCTTCCGAGCGTACAAGCAAAAAGCCTATTAGTCCCGCCAGGAATTTGTTCCTCTGCTTAGATTTTTGAGGGGGACTAAGGAGGGGTCAGGACGGGAGGGAATAGAAATGTGAGTTTGCAAAGCTGCTTCCGAGAATATCGCTGTGGTTGTTGTAAAGAACGGGTGAGGGAGTAGACAAAACTACAGCAAAGAGTTGCTGCAGGAGGAGTGGAAAGGAAAGCATTGGCTATCTGCATTTCCATTAGATAAACATTAAAGGCCTGCAGCCAAAAAAAGAACTAACTGTTTCAGCCAATCTTTGAGATTCGGCCTTGTGCATTTTCTCCATAGAATGTTTAATTTTATACACCTATATGATCTCTTCCCTTTCTCTCCTTTCTTCTAAGCTAAACAACCCCAGATGCTGTAACATTTCCTCACCGGGGTGTTGCTGCAGATACTTAATTATTTTAGTTGCCTTTTTCTGCTTAGTGGAAATATGGTTTGTACTTTTTCTTCTCATTTATTTCCATTTTACTTAAGAAAATCTTGAAGGGGTATCACAAAGCACTGCTGAGTTGATTTAGTTGGTTTGGGGCACCTCACTGTACTCTTCCCATCATGTCTGCCTTTCAGAAATCTTAATTGCATGTACATTTTTACCCCCTGTAGCATCAATTAATTTCCCCAGCATCCGCTTCTCGGATGTCGTATCTAGACTTCTTCATGCTAATTGTTCAGCATTTCCATTTCTCTAGTTTATGTCATTAGCCTGGATTGATAATTTTCTTTGGGTGAACAACTTGAAGCTGTGGCAGTTGTGGAGTTTTTACATAAGAACAATGAATCCTCAGCTGTTTGGGGTTGTTTTTCTAGTTTCCTTTTTTAATTTGCTATTGTTTGTTGGCAACAACAGATGCCATGAAGCTGAATACGTAGGGGAGAGAGACAAGCCACAGTTGATCTAGCATATTGCTTTCCTCAAGATCGGTTCCTTTGCTTATATATGCACACACACACACTCAACTAGAGTACCGAAATTGTGGAGGTGTTGAGCAACAGAATTCAGGCTAATTTCTTGCTGTTCAGTGTGCACTGATCAGTGAGTGTGAGAGGCAGGAAGCTAACAGCAAGTTTTTCTATATTATCGTTAATGACTGGGAGGAAGAAGTGGGGGGGCACTTATCAAATTTGTAGAATGGAAGAATTCTGGTGGCTTTAGGAGACAGAAACATCTTTCAAAATTATCCTGATAGATTAGAAAACTGAACAGAAAAAAGCAATACAATTCAGCTGAGGCAAGGGCAAAGTTTCTCATTTAGCAAAAAGGCATCAAGTGCACAGGTATAAGATAAAGCACACCACGTTTAGCATTAATATGGGTGAAAATGATCTTGTCAGTAACAAGCTGAATGTCAGTTAGGAGTTTGATGTGACAAATACACTCTTAGGCTGCATCAATAGACGCGTAGTTTTTAAATCTTGAGACATAACAGTTCTGCTTAATTCTTCATTGGTCAGACTGCACCTAGGAGGCCAATTCCAGTTCTGGTCATCACAGTTTAAGAATTTTTTGGATAAATTGGAACATGCCCAGAGAAGGGCAGCAGAGAAGATGAGGGGACTAGAAACTGAGTCCTTTGAAGAAAACGTGAAGTTACTGGGAATGTTGAGCCTTCCGAAGGAAAGACTGAGGCTTTGGTGGCTCTTTCCAAGTATTGACTGAAAAATAAAATAAGATTGTAGGAAATGAAAATAATGGATGTAAATTCCCGAAAGGTTACTTTTGGTTGGACGTGAGAACGCATTTTCTAGTGGTCAGAGCAGTCCGACAGAGAAGCAAGCTGCTTTGGGGGTTGATGGACTCTTTGGCACTGGCTCAAGCAGAGACCAGATCGCCATTTGTCAAGGGTGATTTAAGCTGAATTGCTGCGCTGAGCAGAGGGCTCGCCTCAACCGTACCCGACTCGGTAATTCGATGCTTCGGAAAGAAATGTGTACCCCTGTGAGCGACTGCTGAGGGGGCCCTTCTCTGCATCCCACTGTTGGGAGTTGTGAATTTGGTGGTCCACACCCGTGTGGACCCTCGTGGCCATGGTGCCCTGCTTAAGGAACGCCGCCCCCAGAGGTGGCTTTGCTTTCAGGAGCTCAGTGACGTTTTTATGTCTCAGTGCTTGTTCCTTGGCTTGGCTGACCATTGTTATTACTATGCGTTGTGGGGTTCTGCTTGCCTACACCGTTTTACATTAAGCTCTTTTTATTTGATGTCCTCCTGCCCTTGCATCTTTCGCTGTACGGAGTCAGACTGTGATCCCCTGTGATCGCAGCCTTCACCAACCTGTGTTTCCCCCAGATATCTTGGACTGTACATCCCATCATCCCTAGCCATTAGCCATGCTGGCTGTGGCTGTTGGGAGTGCTAGTCCAAAGCATCTAGGGGGAAAGGATCCTCTTGGGAAATGAGGAAAACCTTACAAAATGAGGTTTTCAGTCCTCAGAGGTTCAGTGCCCTGGGCCCCTGTTGCTTCTGCTCCTAAGTTTAAACCACAGCAGCAGAGAATTAGCCGAAATTCTACAAAATGCTCGAATCTTGGTACCTTGAGAACACCGTTAAAAGATCTACCTCAGTACGGTTCCTTTTCATGCACCCATTCCTCAACGAGATACATGATATTTACAAAATGGTTGTATTTCGTATTATTTAAATATTATATAGAAAAGGCCACAGCCAGATGAAGAACTTCAAATTTATGCCTCTTGGTTTCGTGGGGAAGCCTTTGTGGGTGGGTGCAGGAAATATTTCATCTGCCTGGGGAAGTTTTGTTGGGTGAGCATTCTTGGTCGAGGAGTTCCATCACACCCCACTTCTCCCTGGGGACAGTGAACTGGGCTCGAATGTGGAACAGACAGACTGCCTTATGCCAGGAGCAAAAACCAGGAAACATCTCCCTGCATGCTCAGAACATTTAACCTATAGCTTTTAAGGGCCTGTTGTTTGGTTTAAATACAA